CTTCGGTTATGACAATTTTCCAAGTAGCTCTGAAGGGCGATAGAAGACTGAACCGGTGGCATTCAGTTTGATATGAAACAGAAGTGGTTCTTTGTTTTGTCCGTGAAAGGTGTAACGGAGGCGCATTCGTCTTGCGAATAAATCTCGCAAAAGTTGGCCTGATTTTAAATTTGTTTGTCACGGGCGTTGGGATGAATTTGAGACCCTTTGATAGCACGCTGACTTGGCTGTCAGATGGTTGATAGTTTGACAGGTTTTTAAAGAAATTTTCATTTTCTCGGTTTTTTGGCTGCAAGCCTACATTTTAAAGTGTTTTTACGCTCTGTGTCTTAAGCTGTTTGTTCTGCTTTCGCTGATATTAAAGCCAGCTTTTTTTAGAATCAGAGCACACAATTATATTTTTCATCTCTTTTGTATAAAAGTGAGCTCTTTGAGGTCAGAAATCTCAATCCTCAATTCGGCTATTTTATCATTCTTATTTACAATGTTCACCGAGTACTTTCCTTTGTGTAAGGTATTCTGCCAGAGAGTTGTTAAAGGTGGATATTGATCAGCTCATATGTAAAGGTGACAAAATCCGTGGAGGTTCGTAGACTTCGCTTTCCGGCGTCGAGATCGCACTGAGGACGGTTTTTCTTGTCCCTTCTCTTCTTGAACGGTAGGCACTGAACCCGACAGAATTCTTCGCCTAGATCCTTCAAAGTACACAGATCTCTCGAAACAGTCCTCCGAGAAGTGTTCGGAGTAGATCACAAATATTTCTGTAGGATTGAAGTTTACTCGGCGAGGTCGCACAAATCGCATCCGTTTTTCCCGCTCTGATCTATTTGCAAGGCTCCGATGCAGAGAAATACCTGCAGCATGGTCTGCACGATTACTTCAGCTTTGATTACGCATCGATGCCCAGTCATTTTTGTTTAGTTTTTGTAAGAATAGAGTAAAGCACTCTTTTATGTTTGCCTGACATTTTGCCATGTGAGATTTTCACGTTGATTCTTTGACGTCACTTCGTCTGAGTCCTGTGATCAACTTCCGGAACATGATCAAATAATGGCGGACGCGAAATCGTGAATTTAACGGCCTGAAAAAAGATATTTCTGGTGCTTGGTCTAAACTGAAATTTGGCAGAGTCGGTGAAGGAGACACACTGAACACGAAAATGGAAAAAAATGATGTCCGAAAATTTTGATCTCAGGGGCACTTTAATTATGTCATTTATTATAGGTTTAATTCATAGTCTGATATAATTATGGCTGTCAACACATCAATGTATCAGTCATGTTAGGGGTGAATTAAATCTGTAAGGAAGGACACTTGTGAGTGTTGGATGTTGAGATATGCTTACCTGTCCAGATGTTTCTTTGTGGCTGGCCATTAAACACAATAGACTTTCCAAAATATTTTCAGAGATGTTCACAGATTGTACTTTTTTCAGTTACAGTAACACTCTCAGATGGAGAGAGACAGTACAATAGTTTTCGGTATAAATCACCAGACTGAGTGTACTTTCTCAGTCTGTAACATATCTGGGCAGAAAGAGAGTCCATCAAGGGAAAGTGTGTTGCCAAAAAACATTACTCTAATGGTCCCAACAACTACTTAGGTTTATACCTCACAGTTTGGAGACCCTTTAATATTCTAATTATGATTTAAGTGCAGTGGCCTAACTTATCATTCTATTGTACATAGTTTACATTATTAACATCAGTATGCATTATTCTCCTGGCTGTGTCAATACATTTTTCTTTGGTTTACTGACAAGAGGAATTTAATTCTATCAAGAGCTCCTCTTTTGGGATCATTTCCTTTATTATCCTGAGCTTAACATTTGATTCAGTGGCCAATTACTGTGGGAAGAAATTAGATGCCAGACACTCCAAGGTTTTAAAGGACTACTAAGTACTGATCTATCCCTATTGCCACCTGGTCTCTGTGGCATGGTTATAGTGACTAAACCTGCTGTAGCATGTATGTCAAGTTTGTTGTTGGTTTTGTAGCTGTGCATCATGGTTGTTCATCACAGTTCCTGTTTTTCCTCCATCTAACTTAAATTGTTCTTGAAAATCCATTTTGACCTGGAAAGAAAGGGTGTAAAAGTACTAGACCACACATGTTTTACCCTTATGATATTGACCAATATATTCATTTTACCTTTACAAGTTAAGAATGTCTGTTTTAACTCTTCAGTATCCATGTGCTTTTGCCTTAAACTTGACGCTGTCCAAGGAGAATCTTCTGAAGAACATTAAAAACAGCCATTCCCCTGCTTGTGCTAAGCCCCCAAGCAAAGACCCCAAAGATGCATCATCTGATCAAGGGGATGAAATGGACACTAGTAGGACTAAGCGTCGCTTTGCACTGTATGAAAGTTCAGTGCAAGATTTCTTGAACTATTTTAATCTGGAAGACAGAATTGTACGGGTTGACACATCAGCAGCACAAGTACAACACGTCTGGGATGCAATGATGGAATTTTTTGCAGCTGAAATGGATTTCAGTGCAAACAAAGTGATAAATACTGTTGTGGTGTTCTCATTTGGTGAGTATCAACTTCAGGATGTCTATCTCAGATTTAGTGAATTGGCTCATCTACACTACAGCTTGAGTTGTGTTCACCTCGACTGGCATGGGACTAACAGCAATATTCAATACTCATTGTTAATTATGTGGCTTCCAGCAAATCTTACTGCCTAAAATGAGAGGGACTAAATAATTATCTGCTGTTAAACATACTACTTTGAAGAATTGTTTAAATTGTGGTGCAATGGTGCTTAAGCTTATATCTGCATTTTGTTTTATTGGTTTTGACAGATGAAAAGACTTACCAGTCCATAGATACAAACAGATACCCCATGAAATCAGTTCTACTTCATGAACTCATCAAAGAGCCTCAGGCCTCTGCAGTAAGTATTGTTCAACCCCAGCAATTGGGTTTCATATGAGGAATTTTCACCCTTGGTCAGTAGTGCATATTTATTAAACGGAGAGAAGGTTACATTAAAAAATCATGAAACTTTTGTGGCAGCCAGTCAGAACCCAGAGTTTACTTTTTTCCCTTGTTCACCTTTCCAGTCATGTGGGAATAGAACTAGTTATTGCCTGTTCAAGAAAATTTTGTTGTTTACAGTTAGGCTGACCGGTGTGACAATGACTTTGGAAGTTGAGAACAGCACATTTCCACTGAGTATTGGGAAACCAAAACCTAAGTTCAAGCAACAGCCAATCATAGCAAAGGAAGATATCACGTCAAGCGCAGAAAACGAGGACAAGGTCACGATTGGGTTTAGTTTTGAATATGATTGGTTGATTACGCGGCGTGACATTTCTGGAACCAATCGTGTGGCATTGTTAAGCAAAACCAAAACTATCACGGAATACTTTGGATATATCAACAAAGTTGAAATGGTAAATTGGCCACCGTAACGATTACAAAAGCTCCGACGAAGGGCTAGCGCTCGAAACGTGAGCTTTTGTAACCGTTACGGTGGCCAATTTACCATTTCAACTTTGCTGATATATCCAAATTATTTCGTTACCCCCACCGACGCAGCCCCAAACAGTTTCTTTAGAAACGATCAGCCTTTTATCACGGACTACTTTCGACACTCAGTTGAGGGTTGCTGTAAGTTATAGGGCTTTGTGAGGGATGACTATTATGTCGCTAAGATATAACACCTGTTTCATTATATTGTAGGAAGATGTCCTTTCAGCACTTGCTAAACATTTGGATGAGAGTGCGCTGCAGTCACGTTCATTCTTGGTTGATGTATCAGGGACATCCATTGATGAGGAACATATCTCTGAACAGGTACAATTTAAACCAGTAAAAACAGGCAAACTTCTTAAGGCGCGGGAGAACGCCAGTACAATTCGCGATTTGTTTAATGTTTGTATGTGATTGGTTGTGAGAGGGTAACGCCAGATTGGTTAACAGATCACAGGGCGATGTAGAGCAAAATCATTACAAGTCCAGATTACACTTTCGACACTCAATCGGAAATTGCTTTAAAACGGATTGAAAGATAAAGATTGCGACTAGGTTTTTTGTTTAGAAGCATAGCTCGGAACATCTTTTTTGATAGTACACGTAATTACTCACGATACCATATCGAGTGTATTGTATGGGAGATTGTATGTATTGTATAGAAGCTCTGGAATAAGTGCTCCATGTTCACCCTCTTCGATGACATCACCGTTTTAAGTGTCATTAACATTCGCATGGCTTCTGGCACCTCGTGGAGGAAGTGGAGTCTCGGTAACGGAGACTGGCGGTAGAGGGCGATGTTGTATGCTCTAGTCTAGTCCCAAGGCACCCCTATCTCAATAAACGGGGTAAGTTTCTGTGGTGCTACATCGGTGGGGGTAACTAGGTAAATTGGTTTTATCAAGTTGGTGGTGTAAATTGGCCACTGTAAACAATTTACACTCCTATCTCACGTTGTCTCGTATGAAGTTTTCCTCTCGTAACTCAGCAGGCTTAAATGGGGCGATGACCGACGGTCAAGAATCAAAGAACATTCTTGGTCACAGATAGTTTTGCCAAAGGAGCTGGAAAAAAAAGGGAAAACAAGCAAGATGAATGTACAGGTTTCTTTTGCAGAAGGCTTGTCTTTTATGAGAAATTTTTTTATACTTTTTACTTTCAGTTTACGAAGCCACAGATTCTGTTTGTAGACGTCAACGTGGGTCAGTTGGATTACTTCTTGCACGGACTCAAGCGCAAAACAGACAGAAAGAAATCCATTTTCAGGAAGAAAGCGCAGTTATACAAATCAGTCAGTTCAACGGAGAATGAAACGTTACTGTTCCCTGATCACATAGATACTGAATTGTGTAGACGAATCGCTATCTGTTTGGCAGAACAACGCACTTGTTGAGAAATATACATCTTTCATTTTTCTCTCTTGTTCGCCCGGTACACATCTTTATACTAGTGATCAAATCACTTTCTACGGTGGATACAATCAGAATTTTATCTTCCCAGTCGACATGGAGTCCTGTATATACTTGGTAAAATGTGGCTTTAAGAAACCACAATTGCAGATTTTATTTTTAAAACTAAAGAAAATAATTATTTATTAAAGATGATTGTTCAACTGTCATATTTAAATGTTTGTTGCAAACACTGGCGTTTTGCGTCGTTCAAGATTTTGGCGTTTGAACATAGATAAAGCTGTTAAGTTGTCTTGGGAGAAAATAATTATCTGGCTTGTATATACGTACAGAAAGAAACGCTACATGTCTAAATATATTTTCTTCTATCTAAAGATGACAGGAATTAGAAACAGTTCAGGTGGTAAGTAATAAAAGAAAAGTCAGTCTTTCTTAATCGTGGAGCAGCGTTTTTTTAGTTCAACTGTTGAAGAATAACAGACGTATGCTTGACTGCTGTGTATATAGGCTGATGTTTGGGTCGAAGAAGAAAGTTCTGTTTTTCTTACATGCCGCTCAAGGGGAAAGTGTTAAAAAAAATATATTGTCTGGAGTGGGACTCGAACTCACGCCCCCATTCGGAAACCAGAACACTCACCCCAGAAGATTTTGGGAAGGGGATATTCCTTGAGTCTAGCGCCTTGGACCGCTCGGCCATCCTGACATTTCATGAATTTATGATTATTGTTTGCCCTACAAATTTACGGTAAAAGTAGAGCAAGGCACCCAAAGTGAATACAGGTAAACCTCTCCACAACCACAACCTTGAGGAAAGAAGAAAGTGGCCGTTCTAGGGAGGTAGGGGTGACGGTATGGACAGCCCGCCGGGACCAAAAAAGTGGCCGTTCTGGAGAGGTGGCCGTTAGTGTAGGTTCGACTGTAAAAGGAAACGGGCTTTGTTTTTTAAACAGTAGCACGGTACAGTGTTGACGGGTGCAGGCTAGGTCTTTATAGATTCTGCTAGCATAATTTGAGCAAACTGGCATAATGTCTGCTAAGTAGCAATGCTAGCATAATTCGCATATTTTGATAATTATCGGATCAGTTTTGATGCTACAATTTGATCATTGTTCGTCTCTACTCCCAAGCACTTGGTGACGTTATTCGATGTTTGAAGTTTTAGTTCAAGTAGTAGCTTTGTAGTTCACTGTGAATCACTGAGCGGCGTCTGAAATGGTCTGAGCCCGGACTTATTTGCAAATTTTTCAAAGAGTACAATTTTACAAGAAGGGGCATAATTTGGAAAAAAGAGCGTAATTTTAGCATAATTTCGCCAAAATAAAAGCAATGCTACTAGCATAATATGCTACTTTTACTAACATAATCTATAAAGGATATATCAACAAAGTTGAAGTAGTACTTGAAATTGGCCACCGTAACGATTACAAAAGCTGACGTTTCGACTTCGTCGGAGCGAATAAAGGAATTGTGTGTTGTGTGTGCTTTTGAAGGCAGAACTGGAGCTACGTTATTGGTGGGAACATTGCAACGAGAAAAACACGAATAAATTAGTGGAATGAAAAGCGTTCGTTGATCCCTGTGGGATTTAGACTGCTGGCTTGAAAGATGAGCTTTTGTTCAAGAGCTTTACGGCTTTCCGTACGTGCTACCTAAGTGTACGGAAAGACCGCAGATTGCCATATGTTGCTTAGAATGATAAGGTAAATTGAAATGTCTAGCGACTGGTTTCGATGTGTCCTTGTCATTCCTTTCCACGTCGCGAAGGTGTTCTCGGAATCGGTCACCTAGTCTTCTGCCTGTTTCGCCGATGTATATCTTTTTGCAATAAGTGCAAGTTATGCAATAGATTACATTGGCGGAGGTGCACGTGAAGTGATCGGTGATCTTAATGGATCGTTTGGGTCCCGATATTTT